TAATAAATCCACGCCTCAGTTGGCCCTTGAAAAATATTCTTTAATAAATCCACGCCTCAGTTGGCCCTTGAAAAATATTCTTTAATAAATCCACGCCTCAGTTGGCCCTTGAAAAATATTCTTTAATAAATCCACGCCTCAGTTGGCCCTTGAAAAATATTCTTTAATAAATCCACGCCTCAGTTGGCCCTTGAAAAATATTCTTTAATAAATCCACGCCTCAGTTGGCCCTTGAAAAATATTCTTTAATAAATCCACGCCTCAGTTGGCCCTTGAAAAATATTCTTTAATAAATCCACGCCTCAGTTGGCCCTTGAAAAATATTCTTTAATAAATCCACGCCTCAGTTGGCCCTTGAAAAATATTCTTTAATAAATCCACGCCTCAGTTGGCCCTTGAAAAATATTCTTTAATAAAAAAAATCCTCATATGGAACTTGAAAAAAATTCTTTCAATAAATCCACGCCTCAGTTGGCCCATGAAAAATATTCTTTAATAAATCCACGCCTCAGTTGGCCCTTGAAAAAATATTCTTTAATAAATCCACGCCTCAGTTGGCCCCTTTAATAAATCCACGCCTCAGTTGGCCCTTGAAAAGCCATATTCTATCAAAAAATAAATCCACGCCAGAGTATTCTCATTAATATTACTAATACACCATCTGGTCCTCCGCAAAGAAATTTATTGTTATATAATTTATTTAATATCATTTTCTAATTTATTTTAATTAATATTTATTTAAATAATCAGCATTTTTTTCAAAATATCAAAATCCGTCATCGTCTGCTGCTGCCGTCGCACTACTGAAATTTCCAATTGATATAATTTCAATACGATTTTGCTTTGTGCCATCCATGTTTATTTAGTTAATTCAATAGTTTTTCCACTTCATTTGTTCCATTTTTAGTGAGTCCATACATTACAATTTTTGTGCAATTTCATCAACAATGCTATTGATTTGGTATTTTTTTTTCTCCCACTCTGCCGCTAAAAACAATAATTGAACTTAATTCGAAAATGAATTATTCATTTGAATTAATTTAGAGCAACAGCAAAAAAAAAGAATGCAGAAATAAATACATAATTCCAATAGCGAAATTTCCAAATGCAGTGGGAGCTCTAATTTATAGCCACAAAATGGAGAGACCTATTATTTTAATAGAAAATATTATTTTCTAGATGTTTTAGAATGTACAGGAGGATAAATTATAGGTCACTAATTTTCCCCCATATATTATTCTAAGGTTATCCCTGCAGCCTAGGAATTTCTGTATAATTTTTTCAGAGACCACATTTTTACTAATATTTCGAAAGGAGATATTTCGCTTAACCCAAGACAGAATTATTTTCATTTAAATATTTTTACAAAAACAAATTGCCTGCTAGACTCTGCGCACCTTTTTCTAAAATAAAAGTGCCAAGAAATTGCACGCAAAGCCCATTTAAAGCAATTTGCTTACGGCGTATAAGTATTGACAATACTTATACGTCACATGGGCTACAGCATTATTTAACGAAAAATCCACAAGGAAAATAATTTCTCTTAATTTGCCTCCTAGACTCTGCGAATTTGCTTCCTAGACTCTGCGATTTTTTCGCAAATAAAAGTGCCAAGAAATAGCACACAAAGCCCATTTACAGTAATTTGCATATGGCGTATAAGTATTGACAATACTTATACGTAACATGGGCTACAGCATTATTTAACGAAAAATCCACTAGGAAAATAATTTCTCTTAATTTGCTTCCTAGACTCTGCGAACTTTTTTCTCAAATAAAAGTGCAAAGAAATTGCACGCAAAGCCCATTTAAAGTAAATTGTTTACGGCGTATAAGTATTGACAATACTTATACGTCACATGGGCTACAGCATTATTTAACGAAAAATCCGCAAGGAAAATAATTTCATTTTTTATTTATTTTTTTACATATTTTTGTAATCCACATATACCCTCGTCTTACCACGTCCTTCCCTTCCTCCTCCTTTGTTTAAAATGCAAATAAATTTCTTTTCATAGAATATTAACTCAATATATTTTCGTATTTTGCTTTTATGCACTTCGTTTATATATTTAACGGATAATATAACGTAGGGTGGGATATACGGGGAATGCAATTCCTGTTCTACTTTCGGATTGAAGTTGAGAGTTGTTTTTTGCTTTGTTTTTCATCACAGAAGTAAAAAATGCATTACATGCAACAGAATTTCATAATTTTGCCAATGGGCGAAAATTCTACAACGAATGGGATAACAAAAATAAAAACAAGAACATCAACGACTAACTCTAAGCTTTGGTGGTTTTAAATTTCCACAGGCTATGGTTGGCAACAGCATAGAAAGTAACATAAAATCAACGACATGGTACGATGTACTATGCCAAATGTATTTGGTGAGGGAAGATATCCTCTGGATTTGAGGATATATTTCTTTCAAGAGAAAAAAAAATGTTCTCATAGTCATTTTTCTTATAGAAAAAAATCGGCCCCCGTCTTTCGTCTTGCGACATTTTTCCTAATAGAAAAAGTAGACCTCAAGGCTCGATGAATTTTTTTCTTATAGAAAAAATAGTCTCCAAGGCCTTTTCTTCATATCATAAGAACATTTTTCTCATACAAAAGTGCCAATTAGTGGCATATCAACCCCATTAAAAGAAATAGCATACGGCGTATAAGTATTGACAATAGTCATACGTCACCTGGACCAACAAATTTAAAACTAATATTCGAACACATTCCTGTTGCTTATTTTTTACATTTTCTATTAGAAACAAAATAAATATTTTCAAGGACTACCAAGAGGAGTGGTTTTGTTAAAACATATTTTCGAGGACTATCAAGAGGCGTGGATTACTTAAAACATATTTTCGAAGACTATCAAGAGGCGTGGTTTTGTTAAAACATATTTTCGAGGACTATCAAGAGGCGTGGTTTTGTTAAAAAATATTTTCGAGGACTAATAAGAGGCGTGATTTTATTAAAACATATTTTCGAGGACTATCAAGAAGCGTGGTTTTGTTAAAAAGATATTTTCGAGAAATATCAAGAGGCGTGGTTTTGTTAAAACATATTTTCGAGGACTATCAAGAGGCGTGGTTTTGTTAAAACATATTTTCGAGGACTATCAAGAGGCGTGGTTTTGTTAAAACATATTTTCGAGGACTATCAAGAGGCGTGGTTTTGTTAAAACATATTTTGGAGGACTATCAAGAGGCGTGGTTTTGTTAAAACATATTTTCGAGGACTATCAAGAGGCGTGGTTTTGTTAAAACATATTTTCGAGGACTATCAAGAGGCGTGGTTTTGTTAAAACATATTTTCGAGGACTATCAAGAGGCGTGGTTTTGTTAAAACATATTTTCGAGGACTATCAAGAGGCGTGGTTTTGTTAAAACATATTTTCGAGGACTATCAAGAGGCGTGGTTTTGTTAAAACATATTTTCGAGGACTATCAAGAGGCGTGGTTTTGTTAAAACATATTTTCGAGGACTATCAAGAGGCGTGGTTTTGTTAAAACATATTTTCGAGGACTATCAAGAGGCGTGGTTTTGTTAAAACATATTTTCGAGGACTATCAAGAGGCGTGGTTTTGTTAAAACATATTTTCGAGGACTATCAAGAGGCGTGGTTTTGTTAAAACATATTTTCGAGGACTATCAAGAGGCGTGGTTTTGTTAAAACATATTTTCGAGGACTATCAAGAGGCGTGGTTTTGTTAAAACATATTTTCGAGGACTATCAAGAGGCGTGGTTTTGTTAAAACATATTTTCGAGGACTATCAAGAGGCGTGGTTTTGTTAAAACATATTTTCGAGGACTATCAAGAGGCGTGGTTTTGTTAAAACATATTTTCGAGGACTATCAAGAGGCGTGGTTTTGTTAAAACATATTTTCGAGGACTATCAAGAGGCGTGGTTTTGTTAAAACATATTTTCGAGGACTATCAAGAGGCGTGGTTTTGTTAAAACATATTTTCGAGGACTATCAAGAGGCGTGGTTTTGTTAAAACATATTTTCGAGGACTATCAAGAGGCGTGGTTTTGTTAAAACATATTTTCGAGGACTATCAAGAGGCGTGGTTTTGTTAAAACATATTTTCGAGGACTGACAAGAGGCGTGGTTTTGTTAAAACATATTTTCGAGGACTATCAAGAGGATTGGTTTTGTTAAAACATATTTTCGAGGACTATCAAAAGGCGTGGTTTTGTTAAAACATATTTTCGAGGACTATCAAGAGGCGTGGTTTTATTAAAACATATTTTCGAGGACTATCAAGAGGCGTGGTTTTGTTAAAACATATTTTCGAGGACTGTCAAGAGGCGTGGTTTTGTTAAAACATATTTTCGAGGACTGTCAAGAGGCGTGGTTTTGTTAAAACATATTTTCGAGGACTATCAAGAGGCGTGGTTTTGTAAAAAAAAAATTCGAGGACTATCAAGAGGCGTGGTTTTGTTAAAACATATTTTCGAGAACTATCAAGAGGCGTGGTTTTGTTAAAACATATTTTCGAGGACTATCAAGAGGCGTGGTTTTGTTAAAACATATTTTCGAGGACTATCATTTAAAAAAATATTGCATACGGCGTATAAGTATTGACAACAGTTATACGTCACATGAACCAACGAATTGGAAACTAATATTCTAACAAATTTCTTCCGATTATTTTTCAACATTTTCCATTAGAAAAAATAATCTCTAAAAAGGACTATCTAGGGGCTTGGTTATTTAAAAAAATATTTTTGAGAAGTATCAATAGGCTTGGGTTTTTTTAATTTATTCTTGTGGAGTTTAATATTTTTTACAAAATATCCTTGGCATATTATTTTGCAGCTGTTTCTTATTCTGCATAGTCTTCATGGGGATTTATTGTTGTAATTCGTGTTTCCTTTATTTTCTCAATCCTGTTTTTTTTTTTAAATTCATTAAAAATATATTACTCACTGGATTTGTGTTTTCATTCTGTTTCATTCCTTTCCTTTTGTCTTTTTTTCAATTTTTATAGGCCATGCAGCCGGTTGCGGTATTACTGATGAAGTATCCCAATGGATGGAGAATATACAAAATTCAGCCGTAGAAGAATTACCCGAACCCATGTCAAAGGATATTAAAACTCCCAAGAAGCGTACACCGCCAACCCAACAAGAAGTGGAAGATAGAATCGTTCTTTTGAACGATGATGATGATGCGGACGAAGATAATCGCTCCGCTTCCACGACTATAACCAAAGACCACAGTAAAAGCGGTGGACGCCATGGCGGCAGTAAAAAACAGAAGAGAAACAACAACAACTCAACTACCACATCCTCTGATGCACAACCACCGAAAAAATATGCCAACAACCACTACCGCAACAGTAACAACAACAATGGTGCCACAGATGATTTCAACTATCCCTATGTAAAATACACCAAAGAAGCAAATGCACGATTCGAGGAGGAGGACGATTATGATGGTACCACTGCGGGTGCCGGTGCCAGCGGTTATTTTTATGATCCCGAAACGGGACGTCGTTATCAACCCACCGACAATGATTGGCATGAGCGTGTCCATGAACGTGTACGTCGTTCATCGGGCTCATCGCCACGGCGTGAAGATAATAAGAATACCTGTTCGCTGTATATACAAACGGATCCATTGATTTGGCGTCATATACGTGATGGAATCGCTGATGTAAGTTGATGACAGGGAAAAATAATAGATAACAAACAATAACAATAAAATTAAATGAACTTATGATTTTTTTAAGAGTGGGAAATCAGGAACATAAAATTCAATATTCATGCGGGCGTATAAATATTGACAACACGCATACGCCACCTATGTTTTTTTTTAAATAAAATTATTTTTTAGGACTTTGAGGACCAATAACAGGCGTGGATTTTTTAAAAATGTTTTTGAGGACTATCTTTAGGCGTGGATTTTTTAAAAATTTGTTTTGAGGACTATCGTTAGGCGAGGAGTTTTTAAAACATATTTTTGAGGACTATCTTTAGGCGTGGATTTTTTAAAAAAAATGTTTTGAGGACTATCTTTAGGTGAGGAGTTTCCAAAACATATTTTTGAGGACTATCTTTAGGCGTGGATTTTTTAAAAAAAATTGTTTTGAGGACTATCTTTTAAAAAAAATTGTTTTGAGGTCTAACAATAGGCGTGGATTTTTAAAAGAATATTTTTGAGGTCTAACAATAGGCGTGGATTTTTAAAAGAATATTTTTGAGGTCTAACAATAGGCGTGGATTTTTAAAAGAATATTTTTGAGGTCTAACAATAGGCGTGGATTTTTAAAAGAATATTTTTGAGGTCTAACAATAGGCGTGGATTTTTAAAAGAATATTTTTGAGGTCTAACAATAGGCGTGGATTTTTTAAAAATATTTTTGAGGGCCCAACAATAGGCGTGGATTTTTTAAAAATATTTTTTGAAGGCCCAACAATAGGCGTGGATTTTTTGAAAATATTTTTGAGGGCTCAACAATAGGCGTGGATTTTTTAAAAATATTTTTTGAGGGCCCAACAATAAGCGTGGATTTTTTAAAAATATTTTTTGAGGGCCCAACAATAAGCGTGGATTTTTTAAAAATATTTTTTGAGGGCCCAACAATAAGCGTGGATTTTTTAAAAATATTTTTTGAGGGCCCAACAATAAGCGTGGATTTTTTAAAAATATTTTTTGAGGGCCCAACAATAAGCGTGGATTTTTTAAAAATATTTTTTGAGGGCCCAACAATAAGCGTGGATTTTTTAAAAATATTTTTTGAGGGCCCAACAATAAGCGTGGATTTTTTAAAAATATGTTTTGAGGGCCCAACAATAAGCGTGGATTTTTTAAAAATATTTTTTGAGGGCCCAACAATAAGCGTGGATTTTTTAAAAATATTTTTTGAGGGCCCAACAATAAGCGTGGATTTTTTAAAAATATTTTTTGAGGGCCCAACAATAAGCGTGGATTTTTTAAAAATATTTCTTGAGGGCCTGGGCCCAACAAAAGGCGTGGATTTTTTAAAAATATTTTTTGAGGACTATCTTTAGGCCTGGGCCCAACAATAGGCGTGGATTTTTTAAAAATATTTTTTGAGGACTGTCTTTAGGCCTGGGCCCAACAACAGGCGTGGATTTTTTTTTAAATATTTTTTGAGGACTGTCTTTAGGCCTGGGCCCAACAATAGGCGTGGATTTTTTTTTTAATATTTTTTGAGGACTGTATTTAGGCCTGGGCCCAACAATAGGCGTGGGTTTTTTTAAAATATTTTTGAGGACTATCTTCAGGCCTGGGCCCAACAATAGGCGTGGATTTTTTAAAAATATTATTTGAGGACTATCTTTAGGGCTGGGCCCAACAATAGGCGTAGATTTTTTAAAAATAGTTTTTGAGGACTATCTTTAGGGCTGGGCCCAACAATAGGCGTGGATTTTTTAAAAATATTTTTTGAGGACTATCTTTAGGCCTGGGCCCAACAATAGGCGTGGATTTTTTAAAAATATTTTTTGAGGACTATCTTTAGGCCTGGGCCCAACAATAGGCGTGGATTTTTTAAAAATATTTTTTGTGGACTATCTTTAGGCCTGGACCCAACAATAGGCGTGGATTTTTATACCCTACACAACTATGTTGTCAGGGTATTATAGCTTTGTGCAGCCCCAAAAGTTTGTAACGCCGCGAAATATTTGTCCTAGACCTACCTTTAAGTATACCGATCGGCATATCTCGACTAGCTGAGTCGATCTAGACATGTGTGTCCGTCCGTCTGTCCATTATAATTTGTAAACACGATACAGGCCACAGTTATGGACCAATCTTCACGAAATTTTGCATGTAGGATGTGTTCTGGCCAATGAAAACCCCTATTGTTTTTGATAAAGATCGGTTAATATTTAGGGGATGAAATGGACCAAAAACTTTATTTTTGTCCAATTTTCTGGTCGCTCCAGAGGCCGCAATTATGGCCCGAACTTCGAATTTTCACATGGAGAAGGGGTTTGGGCCAAAGAATAAGCATGCCTGTTTTTATAAAGATCGGTCAATATTTAGCGGGTCAAATGGACCCTGATTTTTGTGTGAAAAATTACAAAATTTGTATTCTATGGCGTATATATTTACTCCTGGAGGACATAGGCCCGAGAAGTTGATAGTATATCCAAGAGGAGTGGTTGCCCTTTAAATTGATACCAATCATATTGTCGTAGGTACTCGGATGCGGGAGTTACACTTAAATATTTACAGGTGCTTACGTATTCAGATATTATTTAGTAATCTATTACCACACTTTAGGGCGGATATATAGCCTGATCGCTTTGAAATGTTCCATGAGGTTCCGGTTATGGTCAAGGACAACGCCTAAAATGTTAGAGGGGCTGTACTGAATATTAGTAACATTTTGTGACCTCTAGCCAGTCAAAAATGTGTATATCGCGAAATATTGCCTAATCGCAGAATATAGAACCACAGAAAGTTAGATTTTTATGGAAGTTGTGTAGGGTATCATATGGTCGGCCCCGTCCGACTATACTGCTCTGCTCACTGGTTTAAAAATATTTTTTGGCGACTATTCTTGAGTTTCTCAAAATTTTCATTCCTTCCCTTTTTCATTTTCCATTTATTTGAATAGATTTTTATAAGCCAACCTTAATTGCAAAAATGGAAACAAAAAAATATTCATAGAATAAAATAAAAATTTCATTAGAATAAATATTCCACCTTTTGCCAATGAATATGCTATGCCATCAAATCAAATGGCGTTGGAGAGGATGGTTGGGAATACTACCACTTAAAAATTCCGGATATGAGAATAAATTTTTATTTGGTTTTGTCATTCTATGACACTGCATAGCTTATTGAATATACATGATGTGTCAAGGGGGAGGTGGTGTTGAATATAATCCCCCAAACAATTCCAGCCACCTTTGCAATACCTTTATGATTTAATATCTCTCAAGGGCTTTACACAGCCTTCAGTCTTTTTTGATTTGTTCTGATGCTGATCAAACCAAAACACATTTTCATTATCGTGGTTTTATTTTCAATATTTGTTATTTCATTTTTTATTGTTTTTTATTTTTTGTTTATTTTTTCTGTGTGTCTATGTGTTTGATATTCAACGAAAATTGCACATCAAAATCCGCAGTTCAGTTATGCTGCCATCAGTCTATACAATTTACATATTTTGATTAATTAATGTCTGGATACACAATGTTTTTTTTTTTTTATTATTTTATTTATTTTTCATTAAGGGATGAATGTAAAGTTTTCCAATTTTTTTCCAAAAAACAGAAAACAATTTCACTTTTTCAATATGCAAAGAAAAAACGAGCCATAAAGTTCAGCCAAACATAAAATTTCGTGATAGATTAATATCACATCATATATTGTGAATAAATAAAATATTCTAAAATTTAATTTGATAATGGATAAAAGTTTATATATAAATGTAGCCAAAATCCTATTAAATAAATTGTATGAAGCGTATAAGTAATGACAGTACATATACGCAACATAAAACTAGTAAGAAAAGAACTAAAGTCGGACGGGGCCGACTATATGATACCCTTCACACCTTTGGATATATTCAACAAATTAATGCTAACAGACGTCGAATTTTTAAAGGACCAGTAAAATGAAATTGGATCTATAAACATTTCATTCTGCAACCGATACTAACTTTTTCATTTGGTCAGATATAGAAGCTATATCTAAATCTGCACCGATTTCAGGAAACTTAACACATATCATTCTAGTCCTAATTCATTACGCTGTGCCAAATTTCGTGCAAATCGAAAGATATATAGAGAATTTGGTATACCATTTACATTAAATCGGACGAAAATATATTTGGGAGCTATATCTAAATCTGAACCGATTTTCACGAAACTTAACACAAATCATTCTAGAATTTGTTCAGTACGCTATGCCAAATTTCGTGCAAATCGAAATATATGTAGGGACTTTGGTACATAATTTACCTAAAATCGGACGAAAATATATATGGTAGCTATATCTAAATCTGAAACGATTTTCACGAAACTCAACACACATCATTAGTCTGTGCCAAATTTCGTGCAAATCGAAAAATATATAATGACCGTATACATCAAATCGGACGGAAATATATATGGGAGCTATATCTAAATCTGAACCGATTTTTCCCAATTTCAATAGGGTTCGTCCTTGATCATAATTGCGACCTGTACTTTGTTTACAATTTAACATGGGCAAACGGACGAACGGATGAACGGACATAATAATACCCTGTACCACAGTGTGGTGAAGGGTATAAAAAGATTTCCAATTTGAAGGACCACATTCCGCAATGTCATCTTCCACTTGATCTTTCCATCTTATTCGTGGCCTTCCCCTTCTGCGTGAACCATCTGCTGGTTCACTTTTATATGCCTTCTGGGCTGGAGCATCTTCATCCATCCTCACAACATGACCCAGCCAACGTAGTCGCTGCAGCTCAATACGTCTAACAATGTCAATGTCCGAGAATAACTGGTACAACTCATCGTTAATTCGACGGCGATATTCACCGTCAACGCAGATCGGCCCATAGATCTTTCGTAGAATTTTTCTCTCAAACACTCCAAGAGCTGCCTCATCTGCCTGCGCAAGTACCCATGCTTCAGAACCATATAACAGCACGGATAGTATCAGCGTCCTGTAGAGTGTGAGTTAGGTCTGGCGGGAGGTGACCTTGCTTTTGAGTTGTTTGCTCAGACCATAGTAGCATCGGTTGGCCATCACTATCCTTCTGCGAATTTCAAAATTCATGTCATTCGTTTCATTTATGGCGGTACCAAGATATATAAAATCTTCAAATACCTCGAAGTTGTAGTTCTCAAGTTCCACAGTTGGTCCGAGTCTACTGGACGTCTGGCGCGTTGATACCATCAGCTTGGTCTTCTCGCCGTTTACTGCCAGACCCACTTTGGCAGACTCCTTCTCAATTTGTTCAAAGGTGGCTGTTATCGCTCGCATTGTTCGACCCATTATATCGATGTCACGGCATAGGCGAGTAACATGTGTTGTTTGGTGTACAGGGTGCCATTTCTGTTCACCTTTGCGTCTCATATGACCTTTTCAGCAGGATGTTAAAAAGGTCACACCACAATCTGTCATCTTGCCTGAATCCTCGTTCTATATTAAAGGGCTCCGAGAGGTCCTTTTCCGACTTTAACTGCTGATCTTGTGCCACTTAAAGTTATCCTTCATAGCCGTATTAATTTTGCAGGAATGCAGAACGCAGACATGGCTTTAAATACCTCTGAACGGATAGGGCTGCCGAATACGGCTTTATAATCGACGAATAGGTGGAATGTGTCGATGTGTTTTTCGTGGGTTTTTTCCAGGATTTGGCGCAGTGTGAAAATCTCGTCAATGGTGGATTTGCTAGGTCTGAAGCCGCATTGGTATGGTCCAATAATGCCATTGAACATTGGCTTCAGTCGTTCACACAGCACGCTGGGAAGAAGGCTAATTCCTCTATAGTTGGCACATATCGTCTTGTCTCCTTTTTTGTGCACGTAACACAGGATGCTGAGGATCCAATCATTGGGCATGCATACTTCTAGCCAAATTGTAATCAGCTGGTACATGTTCCTTACCAGCATCTGACAACCAGTCTTGAGTAGTTCGACTTGTAACCCATCGGCACCTACTGTTTTACTATTCTTCAGCCGATTGATTGCTATTCTGACCTCATCTTGGCTAGGTGGTATACACCTTAGATGATCGTATAAAGTTATTGGTTCTGAGTTATCCAGTTCACTGCTACTATTTGATACCAGAATTTTTTCAAAATGCTCCTTCCAGTTCCTCAGCACGATGTCTGTATCTGTCACCAGTTTTCCTTCTTCATCGCTACAGGAGGATGTGCCTGCACCAAAGCCTTCGGTTTGGTATTTTACTCGTTGGGAGAATTTTCGGACTTCATTCTGACTCCTGTACATCTCGATTTGATCACGTTGTTCATGTTCTTTCTTCTGAAAATGCGTTTCTCCTCTCTCCTTTTCTCCCGATAGTTCTCCATCGCATTACGTGTTTGCATTTAAATCTCCTAGCAGAATTTTAATGTCATGACCAGGGCAGCGATTATATGCTGTTTCTAGGTGCTCAAAAAATATGTCTTTGTTCTGCTGATCTTTGTCTTCGGTCGGAGCATGAGACTGATGTAGAAGAACTTCGCTTTTATACGGATTATAGCAATTCGCTCATCTACTGGAGGTAATCTGGAGACGAGGTCTTTTATTCTCCTGTTGATCATAAATCCGCAGCCAAATTCATGTCTCGTTTCATGGCAGCTATAATACAGGGCGTAATCATCTGATTTACTTACGCCCCAGTCCCTTTCCATCGCATTTCCTGTATGGCAATAATATCAGTTTTGTACTTCTTGAGAACATCCGCCAAAGCGAACACTGCACCTGTACTGTACAACGTGCGCACATTTCAAGTGCAGATTCGCAGATCGTGGTCCTTTATAAGTTTGCAGGGGTCGTCAACGTTAGGGGGGTTTGATTTTCTTTCTCTTTGCTTTTTGCATAGTAGGTTGGGTGTTCCGAGTTTCCATTTTTTATAGTTCTTATGGGTGAACTCGCGGCACATATTAGCTCACTATTTCATCGGGTGATAAAAATAGCTACCCCATGTGGCACCGCGGGGAGGTCAGTGTCCACAATTGAGATGATAGAGGGACCAAGATTCACCATGTTAAAGCCAATCAGAGCCATTGCTTGGTATCTATCATCCCCTACGCCACCCACGCCTCTTGTTGGTCCTCAAAAATATTTATTTAAAAAATCCACCCCTAAAAGTATGCCATAAAATATATTTTTTGAAAAAAAATCCAAAAATATTCTCTTAGTTCTACAGTTCCTGTAATCAGTTGTTTTCATTCTTTTTTCTCTTTTCCAGCACGATCGCACCCACAAATACGAACGTGACATAAAAACCCGTGAGGAAATTACCTCGTTAATAGCCCATCATGTCACAGCGGTTAATTATATTTATCGCAACACCAAATTCGATGGACGCACCGAACATCGTAATATACGCTTTGAGGTAAGATTTACTTAATTATGTGCCTCACAGCCTTTGAACCCTGCATCCATCTTCAGGCGGAGGTGGTCGAGCTCATCATCATAACCCTCGGAACACAGCACACTCATTTTGTCGCATATATTTTTTTTTAACAAGATGTACACAATGTTAACAACGAATTGTGGTGGCCACCATGTTCCGGATGCTGGCTGGCTGAATCCGATGACGATGTCGTTGGGTCATAATATGGAAAAATGGTTGACAATCCAATAAATCCACAGATTGTCCGGCATGCTCTCAACCACTCTACCATCGGAAAGTGCTTACACGAATTTTTAATTAATTCATCATCCGTAAGGCAACCCGCCAGTCCGACCAGACCACAATACAATTTGTATACCGCCCCCTCCCCCAACCTTTACTTTTAAGTGGTGGGTGTAGGAAAAAAATCCGCCGAAACAATCCTGGCGATTTATGGCTTAAACTGCAATTTCCTGTTTATGTGTGTGTACGAGAGTGTGTGCGTGCATATGTGTTCGGAGGGTTATGTTTGTTTTTGTTTATCATCATCATCGTTTGCATTAATCATAATTTCCGTTTCCTCCATTTTTTCCTCCACAGGTACAACGCATCAAAATTGATGATGACTCAGCCTGCCGTTCCTCCTATAACGGGCCCCATAATGCCTTTTGCAATGAACATATGGATGTTTCGAATTTCCTTAATCTCCATTCATTAGAGGATCATTCGGACTTCTGTTTGGCCTATGTATTCACCTATCGTGATTTTACCGGTGGCACTTTGGGTTTGGCCTGGGTGGCCAGTGCCTCTGGAGCCTCAGGAGGTATTTGTGAAAAATATAAAACCTACACGGAGACAGTGGGTGGTCAATATCAAAGTACCAAGAGGTCGCTGAATACCGGCATCATCACCTTTGTCAACTATAATAGTCGGGTGCCGCCCAAGGTTTCACAGCTGACACTGGCCCATGAAATTGGGCATAATTTTGGATCACCGGTAAGTAGAGGAATTTCTCCATAAAATTCTCTCAGATTCTCACCTTGATCTTCTCTTTTTTTCTTCTCCTACAGCACGACTACCCCCAAGAATGCCGTCCGGGCGGCATGAACGGCAATTACATTATGTTCGCCAGTGCCACATCCGGTGATCGTCCCAACAACTCAAAATTCTCCTCCTGTTCCATACGGAATATATCCAATGTCCTCGATGTTCTTGTGGGCAATATGAAACGTGATTGTTTCAAGGTATCCGAGGGAGCCTTCTGTGGCAATAAAATCGTGGAACAAGGTGAAGAATGCGATTGCGGCTTCAATGAGGATGAATGCAAGGACAAATGTTGCTATCCTCGTCTAATTAGCGAATATGACCTCTCCTTGAATAGTTCAGCTCGAGGTTGCACGCGACGTGCCAAGACCCAATGCTCACCCTCCCAGGGCCCATGCTGTCTGCCCAACTCCTGCACTTTTGTACCCTCGAACTATCATCAAAAATGTAAAGAGGAAACTGAATGTTCCTGGTCGAGTAGCTGCAATGGCACCACAGCTGAGTGCCCTGAACCCAAGCCACGCGATGATAAGACAAAATGTAACAACGGCACTGCTCTATGTATACGCGGCGAGTGTTCCGGCTCCATATGCCTGTTGTGGAATATGTCCGAATGCTTTTTAACCTCACAACAGCAGCCGCATGTCGACAAACGTAAACTCTGTGAATTGGCCTGTCAGAATGGCAATGACACCACGACATGCCGTAGTACATCTGAATTTGCTCATCTATTTGGTTTACCCGAGGGCGGTATCAGTCTGCGCCCTGGGTCACCGTGTGATAATTTCCAAGGTTACTGTGATGTGTTCCTGAAATGTCGTGCCGTCGATGCTGATGGTCCATTGTTGCGACTCAAAAATCTTCTACTCAACAAGGAGACCCTATTGACGGTGGCCCAATGGATAACGGAGAATTGGTATATTGTGGTACTGCTGGGCATTGCATTTATTATTGTTATGGGTATATTTATCAAATGTTGTGCCGTGCATACGCCCAGTTCAAATCCTAAAAAGAGAAGAGCCCGTAGAATCTCCGAAACCTTAAGAGCTCCCATGAATACAATAAGGAGAATGGTAAGTCAAATGAAACCCCCCATATTTTCAATAATAATCTCAAACTCTCCCTATTTTTCCAGCGCCATCCCCATGGCCGCAGTGCTGGCCCGCGCAGCATACCACCGCCAGTGCACGACAGTCGTGCCCATCATCGCAACTATCCACCCGAATGGGATCGTCATCATCGTTCAGGTGCTGTCAGCAGTGGCGCCGCTGGTGCTGTTCCCCTACCCTCGTCTAGCAGTAATCATGCCAGTCGTGTGGCGGCGGCCGCTTCTTCTTCATCAAGACCCTCAGGTGGTGGTGCTGGTCGCAGTTCACGTTCCAACGGATCTCGGCAACCAAGCAGTTCACGTTCAGCTGGACAACATGGGTATGCTGATATACCACCACCGGGTGGTTTGGGTCCATCACCAACAGGTGGTGGCGGTGCTGGTGGTTTACATATGGGTGGTGGTGGTGCAGCCATGGCTGCTGGGTCGGGTTCATCAACTAGTGGTTTATCACGTGCCCAAATGCCTTTACCCGCCCTGCCGTCCAATGCACAAACGCAACAACAGCAACAACAACTGCCACATCAAGCTTATTATGCGCCGAAAGGTGTGAAAACAAATTTTTTTTAAATATTGAAATTTTAGGTGTTTTAGGATAGGGAATTGAAAAGGGAAAAGAGGAGAGAGATATGAAAATTTATTGTTAGGGATCTCTTTGAAAAATTATATATTATTTGAAAAAAATCCAACTCCAGAGAAAAAAATCGGTGTCTGCATCTGAAACGGGACTTGCAATCCTCCTATCATCAACATCCAATTATCCGCAAAGCTCTTTGTCCGGACTGTATTTCCACGCATATATATAGGCTTCAAAAATAGTTCTTAACAACTCCACCCCTAATGATAGATCTACTGTAGTTTAGGTTAGGGATGTACGGTTGTTAATAACAATCGTCCACTCGGAGACTATGTCCATCGTGATCATCCTTTTATATTACCTGTAAAGAAAAGAAAAAGAGAGAGGGAAGGAGCAAGAAGAAAAGATAGTTAGAAAAGAAGAACGGAAGAACGGAAGAAAGGTTATTTTAGCCATGCCAAAGCCATTGACAAAGCATAGGATCTGGTTTGGGTCTATTTTGGAGAAGAAGACTAGATTATCAATTTCATATGCTAATCAGCGATGTACATTTACAGAGGATGTGTTCAATTATTTCCAGTTCTTCTTCGTCCTCACATAGACGACAGTAATCCTCTCCATTGGAGTCCCATTTCGAAGTCGGAGATCTAATCTTGCAGTGACCTGTTATAATCCCCACAACGATTTTGATCTCCCTCTTGTTGTGTGTCAGCAGCGAAGACGTTCTTTTACGAGAGAATTCAGATTTTGATATTCTACAAGCAGGTTCTCTTAGCCATCTGTTGCCGACTACCTCGCAGTAGAACGCACGGATTCTGCCAATGAAATAGCCGATGTGAGGTTTCACAGATCTCTCAATCGGAAAATTGGACGACTGTGAGCCAGGGATGGAAAATTCAGTACAATAGTTCTTTTTCAGTACTTTTTTACCCAAAAAAGTACCGTAGTACCCCCGTGACCATTTCAGTACCATTCCAATCCTTCATTACACCATGATATATATTTTTTGGATTAGAATTTTTTATGGTTTTGACCGGCAAAAGTATTGCAGATAAAGATATTGATGTGATTGCAATATTCATCTTTAAAAATAGGTTTGCGCTGATAACTGTTCAGTTATGATTGAAATTACAAACATTAAATTAATTTGTCAGTTCCAATCTTTTTAACTGGATATGTTTGTCAGATACTCAATTTGGCATACTCTGTGCTATCTGTGTACATTCTTAGTCGTCGTGATTACTTCAATTATTTTCAAGAGCACTTTGGAACTGAAATTCATGTTAGTTTGGGGTATATTGGCTTTCGAGAAAGTGGGAGTGAAATTAAAATTAGTCAATAGAATACATATTCAAATGCAATCGAAAGAAGCAAGAATTATCATATTATCACCATCAAAAAGATAATCTATGTGATGATATCCTGAAAATCGATCTTTATGAAACTGAATAAAATGTTTTTTTTTTTATTTTCTTGAAGAAAGTACTATTTTATTAAAAAAAGTACTCTTTTGGTACATTTACACATTTTTCATTTTCCATCCCTGCTGTGAGCCCACTCGAGCAAGCTCGTCGGCTATCTCATTCCCTTCAATGTCGCTATGTCCTGGAACCCAACATAAACTAACTATCTGTCGTATATCATTAAAAGCGGACTTGCAATCATGAACTGCTTTTGAGTTTATAGTATTTTACTATCTCATTAAGTGATTTTACTATCTCGGCCGCTTTCGTGATTGCAAGAATCTCTGCTTGAAAAACGTTAAAGATATTGTTGAGTTTATATGAGTTATATGTTCACAATCCCTACAGTAAACCCCTGCGCCAGTGCCTTCCTCCATCTTTGACCCGTCTGTAAAGAATGACGGACCTGGCAGAGGTAAACAGCCACTAGTCCAGGATTCCCTACTAGGAAACTGAACTTTGATGTCATTAAAGTCCCTATGAGAAGGAACATAGTCAGTAATATGACTATTCGCCTAAAGAGGTCACAACCTGGCGTTATGTTTAGGATGCTGCCATGACCATAGTTCACCGATTTCAAGGCATCCGTTTCCCGGAGACTCACGGCACACCTGGCCGCCTGGAATTTAATCAGAATGTCCAAAGGTTGGAAATTCTTCTTAACGCTCGGTAATCAGGATAGAAGCCGATCGCTGTACTAAACTCAATTTTTCAGCACCTCCACCTACCTTCTCTTCATTGGAGGCGGTCAAAACCGTGTATTTTTTTTCGCCCAGGCCAGTCACCTTACCTTTATACAGGTAAGGTTCCTGGATGAGCGCGATGTCCGTATTTGAGGAAAAGAGGGTGAGTAGCAGGTCAGCAGCTGCTGCTCTACAGTGATGCAGATTGATCTGCACCACGTTTAGTGCTTGCTGCTGTCCGCTTATTGCTTTGGAGATGGGAGGCGGAAACAGAGTTTCTCCATTCCCCAACAAAGCTCACCCTTATTATTCCTCAAATATTGCTCTCCCGCAGAATCCGTAGCGAACTTCGAGACGACACCGCCGTTCCTTTCAAATGAGGCGAGGATTATCCACTTCCTCATCTACAGGCCGTCAACAAAACGCAATAACGTCATTCAAGTCTCAATTTCATACGTTGTGCAAAATTTCGTGTTAATCGGACAAACAGGAGTTTGGTGCACCATTTATGTAAAATCGAACTAATATATATGTATATGTGGGAGCTATATCGAAATCTGAACCGATTTTCCCGAAACGTAACATGCCAAATTTCGAACAAATCAATGGATATATAGGGACGGTGGTGCACCATTTACATTAAATCGGGCAAAAATATATATGGGAGCTATATCTAAATCTGAACCGATTTTCATGAAATTTAACAAACATCGTTCTGGACTTAATTCTCAACATAATTCAGTACGCTATGATAAATTTCGTGCAAATCCAAGGATATAAAGGAACATTGGTGCACTATTTACCTATAATCGGACGAAAATATACATGAGAGCGATATCGAAATCTGAACCGATTTTCACGAAACTCAGCACACACCATTCTAGGCTTAATTCAGTACGCTGTGCCAAATTTCGAGCAAATCGAATGATATTTAGGGACTTTGGTGCACCATTTACCTTAGATCGGACAAAATATATATGGGAACTATATCTAAATCTAAACCGATTTTCACGAAATTTTAAAAACATCATTCTAGACCTAATTCATTACGCTTTGCAAAATTTCGTGAAAATCCAAAGATATATAGGGACTTTGATGTACCGTTTACCTTAAATCGGACCAAAGTATATAAGGGTAATGATATAGCACCCATATATAGCTATATCTTTAAAAATCCCTTACTCGGATTAACCATAAAAAAATATTTTTAAAAAATGCAACCCTTTATAGACCTTGAAAAAATATTTTTATAGTTACGCCTTTTATAGTCATTGGACAAAATATTTTCCGAATTCCACGCATCTTATAGTCCTTGACAATTTATTTAAAAATAATAATCGCCTCATATAGATCCCGAAAACATATTTTTGTCTACAACTTTTCATATCTCTCCTCTTATTTTCTCTACTGAAAATTTAGTATAAAAATTTCAACACACACTAGTTTTTGTTGACAAATTAATTAATTGTGTTTTTTTTAATATTTTGAATTTTTGTTTAACTTATTTAAATTTCAGTTAAAAATAGTTGAATATTTATTTTTTGTTCTATTTTTATTACAACTTTTAAACAAAACAAAAAACTTCCCCCTCACTTCCTTTATTTTTTTGTTGTAGTTGACATACGCAATAAATCCCGATCATCACGTATAAACACCTCGTCCTCCTCCTCTACAGCGGCGGCGGCGACTTCGAATAGCAAACATGGCGCTCACAAAGAACACAAATGCAAAGATCAGGCAAACAGTCAAAAGCCCTCGAGTAAAAGTCGACGTATTGTCTATTAGACGACTTCTTTTTTTGCGGGGCAAAGTTCTGACTGATGAATAATTTTTGAAAATTAAAACGGACTCACGCACACATCATCAAACGAACTTACATCACATCACACACACAGCCATATATGACTGCTAGTTAATCTAAAAAAAATAAATAAAAAAAGACAAGAACGAAGAAAATGAAATCTCACACAGAAGAATAGTTTTACATAACTAATAATAATTATACACACATATATATATGCCGCCAAAAATATATTATTTTTAATTGAATAACGTGATCATAATGATCTCACAATTGGTAATAATCACAATATTTTCTTTTTTTGGTTTGAAATTAAGTTAAGATTTTGAATTGAATTTTTGATTTTTGTGCTGTTTTTTTTTTAATTTTTTTATTTGGTTACAATTATGTTGTTGCTCGTTTGATTGCATTGTTGGTTTTTTGTAGTTGTTATCATTTGTTGTTGTTATTGTATGTGCATGACTTTTTATTAATTTAAATATTATTTGTTTTTTACTAACATTTTACTAATTAAAAAAAAATATTCCTTAGAAAATTCACCCCTCAGATAGACCCTGAAAAAATATTCCTTAAGAAATCTACGCCTCAGGTAGACCCCAAATAATATTCTTTTCAAAATCCACCCCTCACATAGACCCTAAAAAAATTTCTTTAAGAAATCTACGCCTCAGATAGACCCCAAATAATATTCTTTACAAAACCCACCCCTCAGATAGACCCTAAAAAATGTTCTTTAAAAAATCTACGCCTCAAAAAATATTCTTTAAATAAACTACGCCTCAGATAGACCCTGAAAAAATATTCTTTAAAATACCACCCTCAGATAGACCCACGTCTTTGATAGGCCTTGAAAAAACATTTTTAAAACATATACGAATTCTATAGTCCTTGAAAAAATATTCTTTAAAAATCCACGCCTCAGATAGACCCACGCCTTTGATAGGCCTTGAAAAATATTCTTTAAAAATCCACGCCTCAGATAGACCCACGCCTTTGATAGGCCTTGAAAAAATATTCTTTAAAAATCCACTCCTTTGATAGGCCTTGAAAAAATATTCTTTAAAAATCCACGCATTTGATAGTCCTTGAAAAAATATTCTTTAAAAATCCACTCCTTTGATAGGCCTTGAAAAAATATTCTTTAAAAATCCACGCCTTTGATAGACCCTGAAAAAAATATTCTTTAAAGAATCCACGCCTTTTATAGACCCTGAAAAAATATTCTTTAAAGAATCCACGCCTTTTATAGACCCTGAAAAAATATTCTTTAAAGAATCCACGCCTTTTATAGACCCTGACAAAATATTCTTTAAAAATCCACTCCTCAGTTAGACCCTGACAAAATATTCTTTAAAAATCCACGCCTCTTATAGTCTCTGGGAAAATATTTTAAAAAATGCCTGTCTTTTTAAAATATTATTTATATTTTTTTATTTTTATGTTTAACACACACTAACGAATTATTCTGAATGCCCTGAAATATTTTTATTCGAATTTAATAATATATATAATTTGATTTTATCTTTTTTTGATTTTATTTTTCATTTCTAGTCGTCGGTCCGCAACAAGTAAATTATAACCGACCGCCATCATTGCATAATCCCGATTTATATGCCGATGCCTATGCTGCTTTGGGACGTGGAGCATATGAAGCAACAACCCGAGCGCCCAATAACAAAGTTTGACAGACACACGAAATGATGACAACAACGGATCGAAGAGAAGAAGACCGGAAGCGTCAGCAGCAGCAGCCAAAGCAGCCACAACAAAATTTTAGTTTAATTAATAATAATAAAACAACAACAAGAAAAATACAAAAATCAAATCATGAACTCAAATTAAATATAAATAATATTTTCTATGCTAATTATTATAATTTAATTTGTTAAATTTTAATTGACAATTATTTTCTATTTTAAAATTTTTTTTTGAATGAAAAATTTATAAAAAGAAAAAAAATAATTATGATGAAGAAGAAATAAATCAACCAAACAAACAAAAAAAAAAACAACAACAACAATGTGAAAGAAAAATATCCCACTTCGAACTATATATATATATTTATGTATACACATAGATCATGTTAGTTATATATATAAATATTATGATTATTAATTATATTTTATATCAGGTATTTTTAGTGGTTTTCTTTTCTCTCATTTTTCTCAATTTTTTTAACGGTACTCTTCTAATAGTATTTTTTTTCTATATACACACACATGTGAGAGATAAAAAATATATATTTTTTCTTCGAATCCTTTGCCAAGGATATACTATTTTATATTTACTTTATTATTACTGCGATTATCATGATTCCTTCTCTTTTCTTTGTCAAATTGACTTTAGTATTCTTTATTGATTTCCAATTTTTTTGTATGTTTAATTTTAAATTTAAATATATATGTAATACCTCTATAGCGTTACAATACATACTACAACAACACACAGTAAAATTCTCAGTAAAAAAATGTAATTCATAATAATATTTTTTTAGTTTTTATTTTAGTTTTATGATTTATACTAATTTTTTTTATTTTGTTTGATTTTACAAATAGAAATTTAGTTTGATTTTAAACGAAAAAAAATGTAACTCTTTTTGTTTTCTTTTTATTTAAGGGGGGACATCTCCCATTCTCGGTGTCAAAAAATTTTATTTAATTTTACGAATCTACACTAATTCCAGAATGTCCCTACAAAATTTCAAGTGAAAATCTCAAGAACTCTTGAAGATATAGTCGATTTATTGTGTCAGCATCAAGTGACGGCAAGAGTGACTCTCAAACTTTAAACGCATTTTTCTCGAATCATCAGGGCACCATAACTCAAAAAGTAATAACCCAATCGATTTCAAATTTTGGGACGTTTCTCTGTGAGTATATAGCTATCGTATGAACTTAGATAAAGCCAATCGGTGAAGATCTTCCTTATTTTTTTAAATTAGTTTGTGGTCAAAAATAGGCGATTGTTGTGCGAAGTCAATAATCCTAGTTCAAACGAGAGCCAGACATGTACCCTTTCTAATACCTTTGGAATTTTCGGATTCCGTTGTTCCAGTGAGGAGTTATCATGCCCGCCATCAAAAATAAAGACTCTTCTTTGATCACAAAAAACTACAACAAAAATTTTTTGTAAATTATTTGTCTTCCTTTTTAAATCTTCAAGTATATATGGGAAATTACAAAATTCTTTTAAAATTCCATTAAAAAAATTTTGAAAATTTTTTTTGCGAGCACATTTATGATTTTTGGTACATAGGTTAAGAAAAATATGCTGATTCGAAATCTGTTCGCGTTCACAAATTCGGATGCTGCGCACAAAAGTTATAGCGGTTTTAAATCTTGTATTTCAAATATATATTAAATGGATTCCTATTCGTTGTAATTCGCGAATTTCTTCACAAATGCTTAAACACCATTGTTTTCTTTGCGTACTAGTCAAATCACACTGAAATACGGTTTAATAGTCGCGAAAAACAAATAGAAACATGAAGATATCGGAAAATAAAATAAATTAATTTTTGAATTAAAACTATTTTTTTTTTTTTAATTTTCGATTTTTTTAGTATGGTTAAGAGGATACGGTTTTGCCTTAATCTTCTAAAATATACGACGCTTTCTTCTGCAAATTCTTTTAGATGATTTTAAATATCGGCAGATTCATCTGATAAGAGTTTCGACGTCATTAATGGCTAAATATATTGCATTTACAATACATAAAAATGATCAATATTGAAAAGCTTGCAATTCGCGAATTAATTGAAATCAGTTGATGCGCATGCGATTTTCGTATAAAAATCAATGTCTTTCAATAATTATTAATTTTTCAATGTTTAATTTAGCGGTCAAAGTGTGCCACTCGATGCACTTTACTATGCAAAAACCCTAAAAATGGCTAAAAATCACGCAACGTGCATACGATTTTTATGCGCATCCGATTTTAGTAATCTCCTATGAAAATACGCAAAAGGACACCTATTTTAAAAGGATCGGTTAAGAACCGCGGATGTGCCTCCACAATCAATTTTGGATAAAATATGCATATTATTCGCGTATCGATGTATTTTTGACCTATTTCCACACAGATTCGCGAATTTGACAATACAAGCATAAATGAATGTAAAATTAATTCGAAGAAAACCGCGATTATTTACGCGAATTTGTCAAAATAAGTTTTTGCAGTTTTTCCCACATTCAAGGTACCTATATCCGCCGTTTTATTGGACGGAATTCAACATGGATGGGCTCATTAGATCCGGCACGTAAAAAAACTAAAATCACGCGGGGTTCCACGGAATTTGAATGGACTTTCTTAATTTAAGACTCAAAAAATATGTTTTTTATAAAAATTTACGCACCAAATTTTCGTCATTGGAACCCAATTGCAAAGAAGCTACAGTGAGCACATTCATGAGATATACACTAAACGAAGCAGAATCACAAGTTCTACGATCCTATAATTAGTTTATTCTATTATCTGGATGCGCATCCTAATTATAAGAAAAATTCAAAAAACACCGAAAATCCGGCTTCAAAATGTCAGCATCCATTTTGGGTGGATGCAGTGATTATATCGAAAAATCATACATTAGAACCATATTGTCCATGGGGTATTCTGCAACTTAGTCACTGATCACATGTGCGTGCATTGTGTAGTTTAGCCACAAATCGGGAACGAACACAAAAAAACTCGTTGGCTTCAACACATTTTCACCCATTTTTTTACATTACCACCATCACAGCTTCCACGCAACTTATTATTTATTACCAATATTTCAAGATTTTGACAAGAACACTTCATTTTATAGAATTGAATTTAAATTATATGCAATATGTTCATATTTCGCGAGTTATAACCTTGCAAACCTCAGCTTCAAGGAATTTAAAAGATTTTTGTAATTTCCCATATGTGCAAAGTTACAAACCTTAACAAGCATTGGTATTCATTTACCAGCCCATTTCAAATCTTAAAAATAAAAAATCGAAAA